ATCCTTCTAGTAGGCAAATCCCATCCTGTTACTTTGCTATTTAACTTCTGGCTTCCACACTGGCTCTAGCAGTGGTGTGAGGACGGGGCCGGGACTGACAGCCTCCTGCCCCTTGTAAAAAACAACCCACCTTGTATCTTTTCTATCTAATGGGTTTTTGCTTAGGACTCTTTGCTTTCAGGGTTCTATTGGGAAAATTAAAAAGTTTGAAAACCTTGTAATATCCTTGCCACAGCATCCAATTCCCTCATGACCTGACCCTAACTTGTCCAGATTCCCCTTGTAACACTCTCTCCTCAGCACATTTTTTATACTAAAACTAAACTATGTGATAGTTTCCAGAACATGTTCCACCTCTGTCAGCCTCCATGCCTTGGCACAGATTGTTTTCTTGGCCAGGAACGTTCTCATCTGATTTTCCTCCTGGGCTTAATTACTACCCGTCACTGTCACATCAAACTTTATATGTAACATTATTTATGACTTGTACGACTTTATTATAAAATGGATTAGCTTTACTTACAAATATTTAGAGCAAAGTTGTACTATTGTCAGCTCCCCTTCAGGCAAAGAACCACTTTGTCATTTTTGAATTTCAAGTGTCTGTCATAAAGTAGGTGTTTAGTAAATGTTTATCAAATAAATATTAAACACTAAATATCCTTCTATGCTAAATGAAGACCTATGGCAGTGTGAGAAACAGGGTGGACTTAAAAAGTAGAGTTAAAATACTCAGGTTGAAATATTCACTCCACCATTTACATGTTACATTGAGCAAGATACTTAATATGCCTGGTTTTCTCATCTCTATAATGGAACTAATAATGGAGTCTGGTGGTTGTTAAGGGCATTCAGTGAGTCAATATACAGAAAGTATTGTAAAGAGTTCTGGCACATAATAATCACTCCATCAATGTTAGCTACCATTATTATTATTTCAGGCTGAAATATAAAAAATGTAACTACAGAGGCACTTTACCTAAGGACTAAGTCAGTTTTAAATACATCTACTAAAATGATTTGATCTTACAGTAATACATTGAATTCTCTTGTTTTTCCCTGCCCAGCATCTACCCTACCCTTTGCTTTAACAGTTCTTAGTTTTTTATTTGAGGAATCCTTTCCAACTCTCTGTCGCTGTGGTAGGTTCCAGGGCCAGGCACCCAACCCAGATGTGGCTGGAGAGAAACAGGGTTTGGTTGTCAGATAGTGAGGTGACCCAAGCTGGGCCACTGATGTTCACACTGGCACTCTTGCTGGGACTGAGGGTAATGAAGTAATTAGAACATGAGCCTGGAGCTGCTGGTAGAAAGAAAGCAGAGCCCAGAGATGGAGAGATACAAAATTCCCAATCAGTCATGTGACTTCCTAGATCTTGCTGAGCCTTTTCTTTTTTTAAAAAATATACACAAGACAATAAATTCTGTTTTCAGCTTCATCTAGTCTGAGTGGGGCTTTGGTACTACAAGCCAAAGTGTCCTGAGTAATGATCACAACCAGTCATTGTAAAGATGAAAGTCTATGACAGTAAGTTATTATCTTATTAAGTCCTACATGGGCTTCAAGGTATCATTGTAAAGGGACTAGTTTACATCAGGAATTTTGGTTTAAATGAACATGGGTATTATTTGCAGGATTATCAAAGAATCATGGTCTCTTCATACTTGGTAGCCAGAAAGCAGTAAATACAAGTCCCTAGAAAAGTGTTCCTCTGACTTTGGTGTGCATGAAGCTCCTTGAGGAGCTTGGAGAAAAGGCAGGTTCTTCCACCCAGAAATTCTGCAGCAAGCCCAGGAATCTGCCTTTCTGATGAACACCCCAGGGGTGCTGACAGTCCGTAAATGCTGGTCGTCCACCTTGAGGAACACTACCTGAGAGGGCCCAATTTTGTTTAGATGATTAAAGTACACAAATCCAGCTGGGAAGAAATCCCCAGAAAGCGACAAAATGTAGAAATTCTCATAATTGTTTCAGAAACTAAAAGAACTTCAAAGACTGAGTCTGAGTTTAAGCCCTAATACTGAAGCACATATTAGCAAATTTGGGAGTGTCTCAGCTGTAAAACAGAAGAACATAAGCATTATATCCAGTTTTCTCTATGGTTATTTTCTTTTAAAACAGGAAACGGTATAGAAAGAAATCAATAATTTAAAAATTGATTTCAAGCTTATAGTTTTATCAAATTCATTACGATAAACTGTAGTAACTTCACAGTAGATCACTGCAAACAATTAACAAAGATGACCTTTGAGAATTCATCTCAGAGCAGCTATAATGAGCACAATTCTAATAATTGGTAAGAAGCTTTTGCAGCGTTCCATAATACACAAAAGACAACATGACAAAATGAAATAGATTGTTTTCTGAGGACACCACATGAGTTTCACAAAGGAAATTTTATGTTGACTGTGATGTGTAAGGGGGTGATACAAAAGTCATTTGATGCTGGATCATACACCATGGGAAATAAGAAAACCATTTCCTGATGTGTATCCATGTTTGCCTTTGTTAGGGGTCAGTGGTTACATAATGGTCAATGATGTGCCTAAAATCAAGGAACTATCCAGCCCTTTCAACAGAGGTTCCCCCGAGAAAATTAAGCCTAAATACTATAAGGCATCCATTGTAAGCAATGGATTGACTCTCCTATGCATTGAAAATGGTGCTAGCTCTGTACCATGCTGGGGAGAATTGAGAAAATAGACTCTAAATCGTTTTCTGTAGGTCTCAGTTGCCTTGTGAAACCCAGTTTAGAGAGGCTAACTGACACTGCTTAAACTGAAAATACATACTCTGGGATAAATTGCTGTGTAACTTTTTTGATTCCAAGCAAGGTGGTCTAGAAATAGTAAATGATTCTTTGAACAATTTAAAATCTCACAAACAGAACCAGAAAAAGTGATACTCAATGCTCTCAAGTCATACTTTGTGCATCAATATACAGCTTTGTACACTGAGATTAATGACGTCAGTGGAACTCAACTGTAGTCTGCAGACCCACACAACAGAACTTTACAGAATTAATGTCTTGGGCTCCATCCACATCCATTAGTTGTTCAACTGCCAAGTGCGTCACATTATGTGGAGAGCCTATTCAATTCAAGGAAAATACAGTAGTATGACTTCAGCAGAATTGCAAAATAAATTCTGATTTGTTTTGTGCTGGGAGCTTTGTAAAAGATTTACACATTTCTAATGGGTTCCTATGTAGAGACTGATAGTATCTGATCTTGATTTTTGTGTCAGACCCTGCTAATTAACAATACAAGTATCCATCCTCTCTTCATTCCTGACAAATAATAGAACCCAAATTAACTGGACAGAATGAAAGACCACATTTCCCAGCTTCCTTGCAGCTAGGTAGCCAATGACTGCAGAAGTAAATAGAAACGTTGTATGCGAGTAGAAAAAATTTCACTGGAAGGGGCTGTCTTCTGTACCCTCTTCTCCCACCCCCTCCCCCCCAGTCCCCCGCACTGCCCTTTTTTTGCCTGCCAAAGAATGTGATCAATGGAAATCCAACAGTTACCTTAAATCACAGAACTGACCTTAAGTGTGGAAGCCATGTGTCAGAATGATGGAGCAGAAAGATAAAAACACCCGCCTACTCTATCACATTGCTGTTACACATCCCTGGACTGTCGCCCCTAGACTCCTTTAACATGAGAGAGCGTAACACTTCCATCATACTTAAGCCTCTGTTATTTTGAGTTTTCTCTTGCAAGTGGCAGAACCTAAACCTTATTAATATAATCTACATGTATTTTCTTACTCAGTAAAGGCCAGGTGAATTCATAAACTAATTGGGATGAAATATTTAAACTGGTTTGCAAGCTCTGAAATTTGAATGCATTTAGGACAAATAAAAGGAAGGACTGCTTTATCTAAGTTCTTCTAAACATATGGGAACAAAATTTTTTCTTGTTAAAAAATGCATATAATTTTTAAAATGCATAGAACTTAAAAAGGAATTCAGATAAATAATAAGTAAGGAAAGGAAGACAGTACAATGTGTGGTATAAATGAAAATTAGTGAGATTAGTATCATGGTTAATAATGTAGCATATAATGTATACTTATCAAAGGTAGCAAACTGGACCAGAGAAGGTACGGACCGAAGTCTGACCTACGGACATACTGTGTGTTTTTCTTATTTGTATACTGGTTCTTGATACCTTTGTGTGACCCATTCATTCTACATCTCTTTACATTAAATAATCCACTTCTGGGCCAAACGGAAGACTTTGGTCTTTTAGCTTTTGTGTACAGCTGACAGACATCTTAGAAAAATCCCTGGGGACAATAGAAAATCATTAACATGCTTTTGATTTCCAATAAGGCCTTTCAGGTCTGATTTTTGCTCTGTACTCTAGAAAAGGCATTAAAATATTTTAAGTAGACCTAGCAAAAAGGATTGAAAGCATAAGATTGTATTTAAAATAAAGTCTATTCCTTAGATTGCTTTTGATCGTCCAGGCCAGAAATTTTGTTTCAGTGTTTCTCTATAGTAATAAGTATTTGTAGTTATTGTGATTATTTGGTCTATAACATTTGGGGGAGGAAAATATTCACTTTACACATCCTACTAGGATTTTAGAGTTATCCAAACTCTTGTCTACTCCAGTGTTAGGTGGACTTTGGGGAAAACTGTTAAGACCCACCTCTTCTGTGTAATCTCAGTATTATTCTCTTAATACCTTCAAATCCTTGTTCTGTCTTCATCTGCAAATGTCCTTGGCTGTGTTTATGTAAATTATTGGCACACATGTTCTTCACTCTGACTACATAAGGCAGTGTGTAGGTATCTAATTTAATTAGAATGATTTACCCATGGTCATCTCGGTCAGCTGCTGAATACTCTTAATTTTTATGTTAAGCACAAGTGGGGAAAGGTCTTGGATGTCTAAAAAAATTCTATTTCCAAAAAATGATTTTTCTCTATCACTAACTTCTCTGTTACAAATATATAAGTTCGAGACGGCAAGATAATGATACATTACCCCTGTGACATCCATAACCTTGATGGCTGCAAGTTGGCCTGTTTTGACATGACGACCCTGTAAAAAAAATTTTTTAAATAATTCAGTTCTGATAAGCAATATTAGCATTAGATTTCAACTGTAAAGAACAATTACATAGATCAATGTTACAGAGTGCCAATGGGGAAGACAGACAGACAGACAGGCACACACACACACACAGAAATCTTAAATGCTTTGAAGATCAACCTCTATTTAATGTTTATTTTGTAAAACATCTCCATCACTTTGTCTGTTGGGTTTGTTTTCACAGTGGTTGTCAAGCTAAATAAAAGAAACAATGTCGAATTATTTGGTTTTACCTCCTCTTCAAGGTGTTAGATAAGGGGTTGAGTGAGAGGAGGATTTACATGGAAGGGGAGCTAGATCTGCGTGGAGGAGACATAAGCATCTCCTCGGTTGGAAAACACTCGGTATGTGCAGAAACTTTAGTTTCCTTCATTATTAAAATACCTTGTAACAGTCTCAAATGGATATGATTCTGCTACTCTTCACTTCAGACTATTAATTTATCTTCATCTTAAAAGGGGGCCTAAAACAAAACAGATAGCCATCAACCCGAATTTGTGATCAAAGAGACAGTATCGAGCATAAGGAAATGCTTCCCCAGAGTAGGCATCCCTGGTCTTTGCAACCACAGTGAAGCAGCAACCACAAGGAACTGGAAGAGAACAGGGTGTGGTGAGGGGGCAACCCCAAAGAGGAGCTTTCTCTGCACTTGCTCCTTGAGAAACATAAAGTCTACATCTGACTCTCAGACAGTAGCAAAGATGGTCAATATCCATTACTTCTAAATGCATTTTCTGTGTGGCTTCTACAATACACTTTACCTACCATTGCTATTATGCAGTATAATATACCTTCCAAGATCAGCTGGATTCAAATCCCAGCCGCATGACCTTAGGCAAATCCCTTAACCTTCTAGGCCTCAGTTTCCACGTCTGAAAAATGGAAATAATGATAGTACCTAACTCGTAGTATTGCAAGGAGGATTGAATGAGATAATGTATATAAAGTGCTTGACACTACCTGGCACAGAATAGCTGTCAGCAGATGCTGGCTATAATTATTTATAGTCCTGTCTTGTGATTAATTTTAAGTGTCGTCTTCCCTCTTAAGTTATATGTTTCATGAAGGAAGGGACTGTGTCTCATCATTGTATTTCCAGTGCCTGGAGTAGTGGGTGCCTAGCCCGTAGATGGGGTGGCATGTTTACGGATGAACAACAACAGCAGATAGCGGAGTCATGTCCACTTGAAGTTGGAGGAGATAGCTTTGGTGCTGCCTGCCCCTTTTCTTCTCGTATATCTCAGCTTTGTGTATGGATCTACCTGATTCTGATAATGCTTCCTTCACCTTTCAACCTCCATTCTGCTCCCTCCCTTTCCTCCTCACTCAGAAAAGAGCACAAAAGAAGACGACATTGAATCAGTAACCTAATAGGGTCACAGGCATACTTGAACTTTCAAGAAATTGAGGGAGGGGGCTGAAGCATTACCACACCAAGAGCCCTGGACCGGAATTCCAGACGCCTGGTTCTGCCCGTGACCAGCTGGTTCACTGAGAGCAAGTTATATAACCCATCTGGACCCTGGTTTCCTCATCTGCAAAACGTGGGGAGCCTGGGCTCAGTGGTCGGAGGTGGGGGGGAGTAGGTGTCACTGTTAACAACCCCCCCCCGCCTTTCCACCCCAAGGAAAATTAGTCGGAAATTTAGTTTTCACAATGACTGAGTGGGGAGAGTAATATTACTGCCAGTTAGTACCCAGGGGCCAGCAATACTAACTTCCTGCAGAGCCTGGGTCAATCTCCCACAAAGGTGAAGTATAAACAGTGCCCTCTGTTGATAAGACACTGACTGACCTCCAGGGTTGTCCAGGTCCCAGTTAAGTCTGCGATGCTGTAATGGTGACCTTAACAAAGGAGTCATTAGCTTCTCTTCGAGAATAGAAAGCCTTTAAAGTAAGGGCCACAAATCATACCTTAAACAATGGTTATTTCTCTATTAAAGCACTAAAGGAGTGTAGGGGACTGCAGACAAATACAGAGGGTCTGGCTGATGTCACACAGCTGATTCACCTTGAAATTCTTTTAATGGTGCCATGTACAGGAAAGGGGAACACCTGGGTATGTCTTGCAGGGACCTCTAAAAACTGACCCCCTGTCTGCCACGCCACCTTGGTGGGCTCCTACCTGCTCTTATGCTGTGGTCCCCGACACTAAACTGCGTTCTCTAAAGGTATTGCATTGTTTCTTGTCTCCCTGATGGTGTGTTTTCTTGGCCTGGAATGCCCTTCACTCCCAACTCCCCAGTAAGCTTACTCACTTTGTAGATTCACCCCTGGCCTCTGTGCTAGTAATGAACATTCCATGTTTCTACTACAGCACTGAGCCCAAAGGACCATTAATCCCCCCACACCTCGCTGGTCTCCTTCCCTCTCTCCTGTGCTTCCCCTCTGGTTCCATTTGCAGCAGAACCTTTTCCCACCAAAAATCTTGAAAGGCATCCAACCTCCTTGTTCAAGCAGGGGTTTGAGCAGCCTCCTAACTGCCCCAGGGAACTCCTGAAGTCACCTCAGCCAACACAGTTTGAGAAATGTTACACTCTATTTTTAACTCCTTAAGTGACAGGGAATCTCCTTTGAGCGAATAATTTGTTACAAGGACATGTCAACACCTAGTTCTTTCCATCAGCAGCCAGGGAGGGAATGGACAGGATACAATCCACTTTACATTTCAAATGTAAATGGCATTGGGCACTGAGCAGCTCTTGGTTTGAAATAAATAAATTAAATAGCTGTGACGTTTCTGAACCTTTTAGCAACTGCTTATAACATAACACTAGAAAGAAAACAACCTATTTCTCCATTTTAAATTTCCCTTCCAAGCTGAAATAACCATTCTCAATGGGTCTGACAGATGACTGAATAATACACCTTTGGGATGGCAGTTTGGGCTTAAATGAGATCCTGGAGGTGGAACAATTAGCAGCCTCAGCTCAGTCCCAAGCAAAGGCGTCCTGTGCTCTGGAACAGGAAGGCTGCTGAGCTGTCAACCTTTGATGGGGGAGCCACAAAGGAGGCTGCCCAGCGTGAGTTGCCTTTTCCATCACTAGAGAATGCCAAACCAAATTAGAATCCAGATGAAGACAGACTTTGAGGGAATGGCTAGGAATCAGCTGACCTAAAGATCACTAGAAACCCGCGGCACATCATTGTTCAGACAGTGTTTAAAGCGACTTCATAAAGTCACAAATAAATTGAGTAGGAGTAACCCCTAAGGTGCCTAATCTAATCCTTCTTTTAGAGATGAGGCCAATATCTCACAGCTAATGGGGACCTAAACCCAGGACACTTTCTCACCTGTTCCAGTTCTACCTTCCAGCTCCTGAATTAGAAATTCTTATTTTATTTTATTTGTATTTTTATATAGCAGGTTCTTATTAGTCATCAATTTTATACACATCAGTGTATACATGTCAATCCCAATTGCCCATGAATTAGAAATTCTTATCACTGAAATTTAAACAATTTTTTTAAACAAACCTTTTCATACTTCACTTAACTTGAATTAAACATGAGCCATTCATCTCTGTTTCATGTAGGATTTAATTTTTTTTTTTTATTTGAGGGCAATGGGGAGGATGTTATTATTGCAAGAGAATTTTGAGGTGAAAATTCAATACTACTCCTAATTTTAACTTATTTCCACTTAAGGAGAAATTAAAAATATAATCATAGACCCTAGTTTGGATCTAAACTACATAGTCAACCAAGGAGTAAAAATGAAATTCTGGGGGAAAAGAAACTTTAAAGGAGACAAAGAGTTAAAATTTTTTATCCACGAAAATTATGGAAAAATATCCCATCACATTGCAATTGCTGAGTCATTTCTTAATAAAAGAATGAAGTAAGATTTTTTTTCTACTGAAACAACCAACAATAACAAAAATAACAGACTAAATCTAGAAAAACAAAATTGGTATTCCAGTGGGACCCAAAGCCTCAATCATGACTTCAAGCATAAAAAGGCCCTCTGAAAGAAAGGAAGAAAAAATCCCATCAAATCAAATCAGGGAAAGCAGAGGCTGTGGGGTCACTCGGCTGGTGTGAAGTTGAGTGTCGCTAAACCAGAGTTCCTCTGCCGAGTTTATGATTAAGCTCTCTATCCAAAACTTTATTCCCTTTCTAGTTTTACTCAAGACTGAGGAGTATCAAAGAAAAGAGGGGATTGAAACTAAGCAGGACCCTGTGGGGCCCTCCTGGGTACAAAAGCCCCTTTGTGTCTCCCGTTTCTTGTTTGTAGAAAAAGGCTTTGTTCTCCCAGGCCTTCCCTGAGTTCCAAAGAGCAGGGTCAAGAAGTTAATGATTAGGACAATAGAGTCATGGGACACCTAGTTCCTCCCAGAGGAGGATAGATAATAATCTGATGCATACCTTTGAGTTGTTCTCTGGAAACTAAGACCCCCACCCAAGTGGAGGATGGTGACTACATGCTGACCACAAGCATGCAGACCCCAGACTGGTTGGAACCAGAAGGTTAAGTTTCAGAAACACCACCCTGTAACCTCACCAGGAACTCATCAGAAGAAGGTCCACAAGCTGGTCACATATCCTATGACCCTCTCCTCTAACACTGTCTTTAAAAACACTTGCCTGAAAGCCATCGGCGAGTTTGGGTCTTTTGAACACGAACCACCCATTCTCCTTGTTGGGCCCCTGCAATAAACCCTTCTCTGCTCAAACTCTTGACATTTTGATCTGTTTGGTCTCACTGTGCATCAGGCACGTGAGCTGGGGTTGGACAACAGGCGGGCGCACTCCATTCCAGTGCTTAGACAGATTTACACACACACTCTGTTCCCCTTCTTTTTTGTCTTCTACCTCACGTTTCAGGATTATAGTACCTTCAAGGATTATAGTACCTTTAGTCCTCTGTATCCACAGGTTCCACATTCATACATTCAACCCAACTCAGACAGAAAATACTCAGGGAAAAAAATTCTGGAAAGTTCCAAA